CTACTTAGCATAAGGTTGATCCGAGAGCCCTCTGTCTGGAGCCCTGAACCAGGCGCGATTGTTGGATGATGCAGTGAAACCAGCACATGATCCGTGAGCTCGAAACGGAAAGCTAACGGAGCGCTCACCACCTTGCCGGGCGCGCCTGCGCTCAGGTTCGGCTCAGCGCTCATCCTGAAGCCTTTTCACAGGCCTCATCTGCGCTCCATTTTATAGTGAGAAAGCTTGGGCTCAGAAAGCGAGGCCCCACAGCTAAGTTGGGCAGAGTTTGGACTGGGAGCTCAGAATGGCGTGACCTAAGCATAGCCCTCCACCTGAGGTCCTTCCCCATTCCCCAGGCTGCCGGAGCTGCTGGGAGTCCCCGGGTGGCACGTTCTAACTGCCGTGGCTTGCACTGGGCAGTGTCCATCTTTCGGCATCTTAATGTATTTTACTTATGGGTGATTTTAGTGATGGGGGAAGAGCACTGTTGGGGGTCCTGGTTCTACTTTCAGTTCTGCTACCAAACTCTCTTTTGTGAACTTTTGTCTTCTGAGCCTCAGTTTTATTCTCAGGTACATGACAAGGTGGGGCTCCCTAGGCCCCTCCCATTCTTCAGGGGCTCTGGCATGGAAACTGCGTCGTGAGGAGGGGAGATTCTCAGTGAGGTGGGGACTGAGTAGGCAGGGACACCCCAGCAGCTGAGGCCTCTCTCTTCCTTGGTGCTCTGGCTGGGGCTGATGGTCCGGGACTTTTACTCCTTGGTGGCCATGTGGGCCATGAGGTCCACCCCCCTGTTGCTGTAGCCAAATTCATTGTCGTACCAGGCAACGAGCTTTACAAAGTGGTCGTTGAGGGCGATGCCAGCCCCAGCATCAAAGGTGGAAGAGTGGGTGTCGCTGTTGAAGTCAGAGGAGACAACCTGGTGCTCAGTATAGCCCAGGATGCCCTTGAGGGGGCCATCTGCCGCCTGCTTCACCACCTTCTTGATGTCATCATACTTGGCCGGCTTCTCCAGACGGCAGGTCAGGTCCACCACGGACATCCCGTTCAGCTCGGGGATGATCTTGCCCACAGCCTTGGCTGCGCCAGTGGACGCAGGGATGATGTTCTGGAGAGCCCCACGGCCATCACGCCACATCTTCCCAGAGGGGCCATCCACGGTCTACGGGGTGGCGGTGACGGCATGGACTGTGGTCATGAGTCCCTCCACGATGCCAACGTTGTCATGGATGACCTTGGCCGGGGGGCTAAGCAGTTGGTGGTGCAGGAGGCACTGCTGACAATGGTGAGGTTGTTTTGGTACTTGTCGTGGTTCACGCCCATCACATGGGGCTTCAGCAGAGGGGGCAGAGATGATGACCCCTTTGGCACCCCCATCTAGGTGAGCCCCAGCCTTCTCCAGGGTAGTGAAGACGCCAGTGGACTCCACGACGCAATCAGCGCCCGCTTCACCCCATTTGATTTTGGTGGGATCTCACTCCTGGAAGATGGTTATGGGCTGGCCATTGATGACAAGCTTCCCGTTCTCCGCCTTGACTGTGCCATGGAACTTGCCGTGGGTGGAGTCACACTGGAACATGTAGACCATGTAGTTGAGGTCAATGAAGGGGTCGTTGATGGCGACCATATCCACTTTGCCAGAGTTAAAAGCAGCCCTGGTGACCAGGCGCCCAATACGGCCAAAGCCGTTTATTCCGGCCTTCACTTTCACCATGGTGTCCGGGAGACGGTGCTGGCGCTGCCTGAGAAGATGCGGCTATCTGTCGAACGGGAGGACCAGAGAGCCCACACACATGTATTAATGCCACCCCCCATTCACACACATTATTAATGCCACCCCCCATTCACAAACATGTATGCAGAGCCCACCCTGTTCTGGCCCCTAGGATAGAGCAGCGAACAGAATAGAGTCCCCACCCTGCAGAGGCTTGCGTGCTAATTAGACACGAGTCAAGAAGAACAGATAACGTGTGCAGTATGGTAGATGGTGATGAGTGCTGTGGAGAAAAAGAAACTGGGACAGGAAGACGGGGAGCCCCTGGGGGAGGAGGTTGTATAGTATTAGGGCTGGGTCGGGGGCGACCTCCCCCCAGAAGCTGCCATTGGGGCAAAGGCTTGAAGGAGGCGAGGGAGGGAGCCATGCAGGCATCTGGAGGGAGAGCGCTCCAGGCAGAAGGAGCAGCAGGTGCCAAGGCCCTGGGTGCCTGTGTGCTCCTGGAGCAGCCTGGGGCCAGGGCGGCTGGAGTGAGTGAGTGAGAGGAGGAGGGGTGAGGGGCAGGCAGCATGGCAAATTATCTAGGGCCTTGCAGGTCACCTCAAAGCCTTTGGCTTTACTCTGATGAGACAGGGAGCCACGCCAGGCTTCTGTGCACAGGAGTGGCATGATCTCACCTGGGACCGGGATTGCAAAGAGACTTCAGGGGTCGAGGATGGAAGCGGAGAGCACTTGGGCGAGGGATGCTGGGGCCTCAGACCGGTGATGAGGAGCGTTGGATTCTAACATCCTAGAGGGCGGGCCTGCAGGATGTGGTGCGAGAGGGGAGGGGGACGGCGGCTTGGATAACTGATAACTGCCTGGGAGGGAGGGGTGGAGGCGGAAGGGCCGGTCTGGGGAGGAGCATGCAACACGGACCAGCCGGTGCACAGCATTTGGAGCGTCACCTGCAGCCAGTGCGGCGGGCACTCTTGCACCGGCCTTGCCTGGAATGCTCTTCCTGCCTATCAGGACCCCAGCTGCCTTCTCCGGGATCATGCCTCCGCCCCCCTCCCCCGGC